TATTACTACTACGTGAAATTTATGTTTTCTGACAATTACGACAGAGGGTGACAACTCACTAACTCGTTTCCGCTTCGTCGAATCGATCGATTAAAAATCGTTTCCCGTCCCTACCCCCCTTCCCTACCCATCCCCCCGTTTTTCTCCCGTTAATAAATCAAAAATTTTTTTAAACCACGAATGATAATAATAATAATAATAATAATAATAATGAGAGCGACCATCGTACGTATGACTTTTCCTTCTGCGACTTCTTTTATTTGATTTTTTTTTTTTTACGGTTTTCCCGTTGAGAGTAAACCAGAAGAAGAATAAAAAAAAAAATGAATGCGGTTTCTGTGTGAGAAATAAGTGGTAGTGATGATGGTGATGGTGGTGGTGGTGGTGGTGGTAACGGTAGCGGTAGCGGTGGTCATTTTTTTTTCATTCTTTCTTTCTTTCTTACTCGTTATTACCACATTCAGGCACGAAATTATTCCTAGGAAGGGAGTGGGGGTAGGGAGGAGATAAAAAACCCAAAAAAGACGATGATGATGATGATGATGATGATGATGATGATGATGATGACGTTATTTACGTTGGTTAGAAAAAAAAATTTTTTTTTTTTAATCGGGGAGGTGCGTGCGCGGCGTGACACGCGCGAGAATCAGGTACGACCGTGGGAAAAAAAAATTTTTTTTTGTTTTTTTCATCGCGGATAATAATTATCATGATAATGATAATCAAAAAAAACGTGAAATTAATTAATTTACTCACGTGCGGAAAATGCCGGATATGGAGTTTTAAGAGACTTTGAAATTTATCCGGATACCGGAACTGACGACATGAAGGAAATCTCCTACTTGACTACCGGAAACGCTAAAAAACGAAAAAAAATATCTATTAGAAATTTCGTCATCGATTATTTTTCCTAAAAATAATAATGATGATGATTCGAACATGAAAACTTTCACGATTTCTATAAATTTTCCAGATATTAGAAACAAAAAAATTTTTTTTTTTTCGTTTGTCGTTTGTTTTAATGATTCTTTTTTTTTGTTTGTTTGTCGCCTTTCAAATGCTGGAGAAAATTAAAGAAGAAAAAAACGTTTTCTTATAACATTTGCAATTATACGCCATCATTTATTATTTTTCAATTTTCAAACAATTTCCATCCACGATTTTTCTTCATTCCTTCCCGCTGTTGTTACTGACCAATACCAAAATTACAATTTCAGGTACGTAGGTAGGAAAGAAAGAAAGAAATAAAAAATCGTGCGAATTTTTGTTTACCCTTTTGAAAACTCATTACATTTCATAATAAAACGATTGGCTATAATTTAAAACGTGATCGGAGATAAATGAAAAAAAAAAAAAAAAAATTAATTCGTTTCACCGGGCACAAGAAGAAGAAGAAAACAAAAATGGGGGGAGAGGAGGGTGGAATAGGAGGGGAGGGGTGTGGCACGAAGATAGGATGATTGTTGTTGGTATACAAACGCGAGAATTTTCAATACGCTAAAACTAAATCCCCTCCTTCCTCTAAATCCTCCTTTATTTTGTTTCATTTCAAACGTTTTTTCTATATTTCCGTTTTCCCTTTTTTCCTTTTTTTTACGCGCCAAATTTAAAAAATAATCACGTGACGTAATGACAACAACAACAACAAAAAAAACAAAAACGCGGTGAGCATTCATTAAACGTCGCAGATTTTTTTTTTTTATTATTTTGATCACAAAAAAAAATTATAAATATCATTATTATTATTATCATCATCATTATTATCATTATCTACGACGTCATCATCAACATCATCATCATCAATTAAAATTTGATATCTGGTAAACTACCCGAGTTACATTTTCGTAACGACCGTAGTCACCATGCAATAATAATGATATTATTCAAAAACATGTTGTTTCTTTTTTTTTAAAAAGTCGTAAAGTGCGGTTGTTGTTGTCGTTGTCGTTGTTGTTGTTGTCGTCGTCATTGAAATGATGGGAGCTTATGAAAGCGGTCGTGACGACGACGACGACGACGGCGGCGGTGGCGGCGATGGCGGCGTCGATTATTTCCCAACTCGACCCGTGGTCATCATTTTATTTTAATGAGTTTTCATTATTATTATGATTTTTTTTTTTTTAAATTTTCCACCGAAAAATACTAACAAAAAAAATTTTTTTTCTTCTTCTTCCACGACATTTTTTTTTTTTTAATTAAAAAAAAAAAATTTGGAAAAATTTATCAGACCGTGATTGGTTCCGTTTACGAAATAACCCTCGATACGAACCTTTTTATGTTTAAAAAAAAAAAACAAAAAATTAAAAAAAAAATTAAATAATAATAATAATAATATCGAGAGTAACGAACAGGTTCACCGGAAATATAATATACCTGTTTTTAATACCTTGGTTAAGCTTATTAACTGTATAATTATAGAATCCGCAGTTTAATTAAATGCCGGGGTCATTAATTGATTTCTTCCTCTTTTTTCCTTTTCCTTTTTTTTTTTTTTTTAATTGTTTTTAAATTAATGTACAACGGTTTCGTATTTCATTTTCTTCTGCTTTTCTTTTTTTTGTTGTTTTCTCGGATCGATTTCCGTAAGATAATATCGATTATTATTCGTTAGTGTTAACACGCCTTCCTATCGTAATTGATTAATAAATTTCTCGCTGTGGGATGAATATGCACACACCCCCCCTCCCGCTCCCCAAAATAATATTTAAACACCTTTACGAAAACGATTTCTTCTTCTTCTTTAACGTCTGTAAGACATGAAAACGCGCGAAAACGTCAAAATAAGTATTATGGTACCTGTGGTGCGCATGCGCGTGCGAGTAAGTACGCGCGTACTCGTACACTTGTCAATCAATAAATTGAAAATAAAATATAAAAAAAAAAAACTAGTTCGTATGGAATGAGAAGTAGTAAAATTTGACAGGGGGGCACATTAGTCAGGTAGCTTCTGTTCGCAATAGGTACGACCCGATTTGATTTTTACACAGCGGATTCAACGAGATGTACAACGTGTCCTCTGACACCTAAAATCCGCGCGTGATTTTTTTACTCTCGAAAAGTCTAAAAAACCCCTTCAGGTTCGAGACGAAAAAAAAAAAATCAATAATTTATCAAAACAATTTAAACGATGATGATGATGATAATAAAAACCGGAAACAAATAAATTTTTCGTCGTGGCATTAAATTGTATAAATGAAAATTATTACAACCGGAAATAATTACAAATTATTGTTGTTGTTTACATATAAACGAAATCAAACACCCTATTTCTTTCTCTCTCTCTTTCTCTTTCATCCATATCTATTCTTTTATCTTTACACACACGCGAACACACGCACACGCACACGCTTCACTCTCTCTCTCTCTCTCTCTCTCTCTTTCTCTCTTTTATTTTTATTTTTATTCCGCGACGAAGTTTACAGAAAAATAATTTTTTTTCAACTTTGCACGTTTGTTGTTTTAATAAACAATTAAATTCATTTCGAATAATTTTATTATTATTATTATTATTATTATTTGCACCGGTTAAACCTGATTTAAATAAAAATAACATCAAAAAAAAAAAAAAAAGTTAAGAGAAGAATGAGAATAAAAAAAAAGATGGCGGTCGTAAAAAAAAAAAATTATTAAAAATTATTATTTAGTTAATTAAATATGGAAATTATAACTTATGTGAATAATTTTTTTAAAAAATATTCAAAACGTTTTTTTTTTATTGCCGTAAATTTGAAACACGTAAAAAAAAAAACCGTTTTTTTATGTTCGAAAATTTAAAAAAAAAAAAACGCGGGATTATTTCAAAATTCAAATGATGAATCTTTATTTTATTTTATTTTTTTTAATATTTATTAAATGTACGTTTCAAATAAATCGAAGGATCGATTAATCAATCAATCAATCAATCAATCAATCAATCAATTAATAGATCAAACGATTAGTGATGGAATTTTGGAACGAGAAAAACAAAAAAAAGAAAAAACTGGACAATGACTCGGCAATATTTACGCGCTGACCGCCATCTTTCAAATTTAAACGAAATAAAAAAAAAATTTACGACGTTGCCAAATCGTCATTACAAAAAAAAAAAAAATTTCCAGGGTATAAAAAAGTCAATTTTCCGGTTTAAATGAAAAAAAAAAAAAAAGGAAGGAAGGAAGGAGAAGTGGGTGAGAAACGAACGTTGGGAAAATTTTCTCCCTCTCTCTCATTTTCTCTAGCTTTACTTTTCCGCCTCCTCCTCCTTCCCCTTCCAATCCCCATCCGCATCAATTTTTTTCCTGACACACAAATGTGAAATTTTTTTTTTTTTCTCTCTTTTTCCTTCTCTCTTTTGTGGAAAACCTTTTTTTTTTTTTTTTTTTTTTTCCTAATTGGGTCTTAAGTCAAAAAGAAATTTTTTTTTTTTTGCTTTTTGGTTGTCAGGCGATGAAAAATCAAATCCGGGAAGAGGGAAGGGAAGGGGGAGGGGTAGCGCGTGGGCGACAACGAGAAAAAAATAAAATAAAATAAAATAAAAAAAAAAAAAAAAAAAAAAAAGGTTTTCATCCCTAAAATTAAGAGAGGATTTATTTTCTCTCCTGTCAAGTCCTTTTGATATTTGACAAATGAAATCCGTCCGCCATGTTTTTAAAAAAAAACGGGGGAAACGGAGAAAAGGGGAAAATAAAAAAAAAATATATATATATATAATTGAGCGACGAGAGAAAAATGTCGCCATTTCGTTAAAAAAAAAAAATTATTATTATTATTTTTCTTTTTAATCGGGAAAATTAAAAAAATAACGAAACGACGTGGAAAATTCGCGGGGGGGAAGGGAGGAAAAATTTTAAAAAAATTTAAAAATTTTATCACGTTCGATATGAATCGATATGTGTTCGATATATCGATCGAGATTTGAAATCATTTAAATTTTTTATCTCAATTATTAAACGTAAAGTGTTTGAATTGGTGCGAACGAAGGAACAGACGACATTTTGATTTGTTTTTCTTTTTTTTTTCAGATTTAAACGATTCCTATTTAGATTTCGGACGTGGTCCAAACACTCCCGGAAGTTTAAGTTCATCGGGAAGATCGAAACGTATGCGAACATCATTTAAACATCATCAATTGAGAACAATGAAATCATATTTTTCGATAAATCACAATCCAGATGCAAAAGATTTGAAACAATTATCACAAAAAACGAGTTTGCCCAAAAGGGTTTTACAGGTACGTGATTTCCGCTTTTTCACTCTCTCTCTCTCTCTCTCTCTTTCTCTCTCTTTCAAAAGTTGGCAATACCGAATTATACATGTACTATTATTTAAATTCTTCGGTAATTTTTTTATTTTTAAATGAAAATTTTCAATTTGTTCACGGTAGTCGTCGGAGATATATATTTATTTATTTAAAAAAAAATAACTGACTACTACTGACACGTTTGTTTTTACATTTTTATTTATATTTCTAATACCACGACCGTAACGAAAATTTTACCCATCGGCAATGAATTATCTCTGTTCGAATTTTCTCACCGACTAAGAAAAAAAATTTTTTTTTTTTTTTCAATTTCGTATCTCAACCTCTAAACTTCTCCAGTTTTCTCCAGCGAAATTATATTAAATTACAAAAAAAAAAAAAAAAAAATTGACGAAATTTATCGTCGTCATCGTCATCATCATCATCATCATCTTTATGAAATTTTTTAAAAGATCTCCATAAATTATATTTTTTATTAAAACAATAAATATTTTATTTCTTAATTTTTACATAAGTCGTTCTATTAATTTTTTTTTTTTAAACAACAACAAACCGGAAGAACAACCAAAGATGATGGCAATATTAAAAAAAAAAAAAAAATAAAGTAAAAAAAATCTAATGCCACGTAATAAAGACGACGACGACGACAACAACAACAACAACAACAACAATAATTCCAGGTGTTTATTATTATTATATTCAATGACATTACGTATTACTATTTATGTTTGATCGTAAAAAAATTTTTTTATGCAAATGTTTTTTTTTTTTTTAAATGTCTACAACGTACACGTTGAATTATATATATATTTAAATAAATAAATTACAATTTAAATTACAATTTAAATTACAATTTAATTGCTCCTTTTAAAATTAAAACGCAAAACGCAAATAAAAAAATAAAAAAAAATTGAATTCATTTAATAATACATTTATATATGAATACATAATTCAATTTATTAATGAATTATTTATTTATTTATTTATTTTACGAGTCATAAAATTCTTTAAAAAAAAAAAAATTACATTAAATTCTTTCGATTGTCGCTAGGTTGTTGTTGTTGTTGTTGTTGTTGTTGTTATTGTTGTATGTTCATATACACTCTCTCTCTCTCTCTCTCTCTCTCTCTCTCAATCTCACGTATATAAAATAAAAAAAAAATAATTTTCTTACTCTTATACGATTCGAGTATATATTATTATTATTATTATTATTATTATTATTATTATTATTATTATTATTATTATTATTATTATTATTATTATTATCATTATTATTATTATTATTATTATTATTATTATTATTATTATTACAAAACGTAGGAAAGTTACGCGGAAGGCGTATATGGTCAAGCCTCTTTTACAAGGTTAACCAATGAAGGTTTGAATAAAAAGTCAATGGAAACGAGTCAGTCGCCGTTTTTATTGTTATTATTATTATTATTATTAATGATAATAATAATAATAATAAAACCTTGAAATCTTGTGGATTAACAAAAAGAAGAAAAGAAATCGCGAGAATAATGATGATAATTGTGATGATGATAATATAAAATTTAACAAAAAAAAAAAAAAAAAATTTTTTTTCTTTTTTTTTCGAGTTGGCGCCGCCGCGAAAAAATAATAAACAATTATTATTATTATTATTATTATTATTTTGTTTTTTTTTTGCGAGAAATTGCGTGCGTGAGTGCGTGAGTACACAATTTTTTCCTTTTGTTTCGCTTCCCCTCCCCCCACAGAAATAAAATGAAAATGAAATATGAAAATTTCTTTTTATTAAAATTATTCATTCGACTGAATATAAAAAATTCAAAAAAAAAAGAAGTAACGATGAAAAAACATGGCGGATCGATCGCTGGAGGGCGGGGGAAAGCGGAAGGGGAAGTGAGATAAAGAAAAACGGAAACGGAAACGGAAAAAGAAAATTCAAAAAAAAAGAAAAAAAAGAATTATTTTCAATAATGATTAATTGTTTTTTGTTTTTTGTTCGAATTGATGTTTAAAAAAAAAAATACGTGGCAGAAGATAAAAAAATCGTATGAAATATTCGAGAAATCGAAAGTAAAATAATAATAATGATAATAATAATAATAATAATAATAATAATAATAATAATAATAATAATAATAATCAATTCGTTATTTTTTTTTTAACGTTAATTTACGAAATTATTCGAAATTCGTCACAATATAATTTTTTTGATTTCGATGATGTCGTTTGTCTGTCTGTCTGTTGTCTTCTTACACGACATTATTTCGTCAAACGTAACAACAATTCGTTCTTTCATTAAAAAAAAATAAAAAAATAAAAAAGAGACGATTGTTTTCGTAAAACAAACGCAAACAACACACACACACACTCTCTCTCTCTCTCTCGAGGAAAAAAAAAAAAAATGAAATCCAAAATTTGTTCCGATCTGTTTAATACGTTCACGAAAATAAAAAATTATTTTAAACGGTTTAAATAAATCGCGTGGGAGTCGTGGCATTAAAGAAAACACCAATTAAACTTTCAACGTATTCAATAATAATAATAATAATACGTGATTATCATCGACAGGAACGACAACAACAAACAAAAAAAAATTTGAAATTTTTTTTTTTTTTTTGGACGCAAAGCTAAATGATGCCACCACAAATGGGAAGAAAAAGAAGAAGAAGAAACAAACAAAAAAAAAAAAAAAAACAATTCTTCTTACACGCTCTGTCGGACAAAAGTAAAAATGTCTTTTGATGTTTGACCGACATTTTTGGCACCTGTCGCAAAAATCAAAAAAGCGAATAAGACGACGACGACGACGTTCGTGATTAATCACGGGGCAAAAAAAAAAAAAAAAAAATTTAAGCAAATAATATATAACCTGAGACGACGATGACAATGACGTGGCATTAGGTGTAAGAGAAAAAAAAGGGAAGAAGGATAGGGAGGGGAGAGGGAAGGAAAAAGTGTTTCGTAAAACGTTGAGGAGGGAAAATCGTGGCAGACGACAGTAATTAAAACCAAATTTTTTTCTGGATCGTTTCATGTATACATTTTTTTTGACGCCGTAATTGGAAGGGATTCTTTACTCCATTCAAAAGGGTCGACATTTTTCTCTTCTTTTTTTTAAATTTAAAAAATTTTTATTGTCTGCGACAAAAAAAAAAAAGAAAAGAGTTCTTCCCATTTATATTTATTTTATATTATTATTGAAATATTTCAGGAGAATTATAAGAGAAAAAGAAAGAAAAAAAGAAAATGGCGGATTTTATACGATGATAAATTTTTCATTTTTTTTTTTTTTTTATTATTTTTTTTTTCATCACCATTCTCCCATTTGATTTTTTTTTTTTTTTTTTTTCATAAAGAGAAAGAAAGAGAGAGAGAGAGAGAAGGGGGAAAAAAAATTTTGACGACAAAATAATAATGATGATGATGATAATAATAATAAAAATATTTTTCCTTTTCGTCTTCGCTAACAAGCGAAGCTGAATTTTCAATTTTCTTTTTTTTTTTTCAACCCTACAAATTTTTTTTTTTTTTACTTTTTCGAAATGGATACATATTTGTCGCTTTGTTACATTTAACAAAATGGCGACAAAAAAAAAATATTTAAAAAAAAATTATTAAAAAAAAATTTCTAACTACAATTTTACATTATTCGTTACGAATTTTTTACATTTTATTTTATTTTTTATTTACTTTTTTTTTAACGCATCTCTCTCTCTCTCTCTCTCTCTCTTTCTCTTTCTTTCTACCTTTCTCTCTCCCACTCTCTCTCTCTCTCTCTCTCTTTCTTTCTACCTTTCTCTCTCCCACTCTCTCTCTCTCTCTTTCTCTCTCTCTCTTTCTTTCTACCTTTCTCTCTCCCACTCTCTCTCTCTCTTTCTCTTTCTCTCTCTCTCTTTCTTTCTACCTTTCTCTCTCCCACTCTCTCTCTCTCTCTTTCCCCCTCCCTCCCTCTCTTTCTTTCTACCTTTCTCTCTCCCACTCTCTCTCTCTCTCTCTCTTTGTCGTTTTCTAATTATTTCGTAATAAATGAAAACTCGCACTAACTCACAGTTACAAATCACATTTGTCGCAATCGTGTCAATAGACATTTAACAAAAAATAAATTTTTTTCATAATAATAATAATAATAACAATAATTTAAATAAACATTCATTGAATTTTTCCAATGGTATAATAAAATCGTTCGCTTTTTATTTATTTATTTTATTAAAAAAGCAGACGACGCGATTTTTAATTTTAAAAAAAATTAATAAACAAATATTTTATAAGTTTTTTTCAAAAATTTTTCCTGCCGTTTTTCCAAATAATTTTTTTTTTTTTGTAATTTGTTTAGCCATTCGTAAATTATTATTATTATTAAAAAGTCTAGCAGTAGACGGACAAAATATATATAAATACGGAAACGGAAATTGATGTTTTGTTTTTAACGACTTTTTCTTTTCACCCTGAATTTTTTACGCTCGCGAGTTTAGTTTTCATTCTTACGATTTCAAAATAAATTTTTATATTTCATGATGATAATAATGATGATGAGAGATTCGAAAAGTTTGGAATTAAAATTACGATTATTTTTTCAGGTATGGTTTCAAAACGCGAGAGCAAAATGGCGGCGAATGATGGTCAAACAAGAGGGTAAATCGGATAAATGTTCGGGAGAATCAGGAGTTTTAAGCGATCTCGATTCGTATGCGACTCATTCGGGAGGTGGAAACATGTCACTCGGACCCCACAGTCCCCCATTCACGCTAAGCAATTCATGTTCGAGTCCCGCATCTCTCGAATGTTCATGATGACGTCATCGATTCAATGACGACAACAACGACGATTATTTTATAAATAATTTGACTTTTTATTGCGTTTTCCGGTGAATGCTGTGCAATCAATTAAAAAAAAAAAAACAATCGCGTTTGTTTACGTTTGAAAAAAAAAAAATTATCCGGAGAACGTGATAAAAGAATAAACGTTAGAAAAAAAATAATAAGAAGAAGAAGAAAAAGGGAAAGAATGAGAAAAATGTGAAGAGTGAGTGAGAGAGAGAGAGAGAGAGAGAAAGAGAGAGGGAGAAGAAAAACGAAACGAACGTTAAAAAAAAAAAAAATGGCCGACAATTTTTTGGTTTTTTTTTTTTTGCCCCCCCCCCTTCTCTCTCTCTCTTTATTTAACGACCGGAAATTTTAATTAAAATGTGAAATATTACCACGAGAGTAATTTAAAAATTTAGGGACGTGGTTTAAGAAGAAAAACATAAATTTTTTTGCGCGAATGATGCCACGTCGTTAATCATTAAAACCGACGTTACAAATTTGAAGGAAAAAAAAAAAAAAAAAAAAAAAAAAAAAACATTTTGAATTTCTTTTCTTTTTTTCATTCATTCATTCATATCATGCTTCGTTTTCACAGACCGTAAAGTTACGTCAATCTGCTGACACTTTGTCGAAAAAAAAAAAAAAAAAATTTAATTTATTTCGTAATTAATTTCTTTTATTTTGTTTTGTTTGTTTTCGTTTGTTTTGATTTTGAATTATTTTTAACGGTTTTTTTTTTTTTTTTTTTTTTGAAATCTTTCATTTTCCGAAAATAATTTATTTATTTTCGGTTAAAAACAAACAAACAAATTTTTCACTTGTTTTATAAAACTAACGAATTTTCATTACGCGGTTCGTAAAAAAAAAAAAAAAAAAAAAAAAAATTAATCTGATTACCCGACGTTTTTTTTTTTTATTCTTTTTTTTTCTATTTAAATTTATAAAAATAAAAAAATTATTTGAAAATAAAATTTAAAAAAAAAATTTTTTTTTCCCCTTTTTTATTTTGATAATTAAAAAAAAAAAAAAAAAAAGTGAAAACGTGGCTTTAGACAAAAAAAAAAAAAAAATTCATCGTGCGTGGATTATCATCAATTTTTTTTAAATTTTCAAAGTGTATCAAGAATTTTTTTTCTTTTTTTTTGTTTAAAAAACTTTTGTGACAATGACTAATTACCAACCGTTAATATTTCATTCATCATCTTTTTCTTTTTTTTTTATTCTTCTTCATTGATTTTCGATACTGACAAGGAAAATTTTTTTTTTTTTTTTTTTTTTACAAGCAGACGACGTTTTTTAAATAACAATAATAATAATAATAATAATCGTTATTAAGGTGTGTCGCATGAATTAAATTACGTAAAATATTTTTTCCTCACATTTTTTTTTTTTTTCTCTCACATTCTCTCGATCAGATTAATTTCACTGTCGCGACAACATCATCATTATCATCATCATCATCATCATCATCTCCATCATCATCTCTATCATCATCATCATCATCGAGAAAAAATTAATTCTTTACAAAATTTAAAGAAAAAAAAAAAAAGAAAAAAGTTTTCTCTTATCGTCATAAATTCAATTTCCAAATAAATAAATACAAATAATAATAATAATAATAATTTCGTAAAAAAAACAAACTTTTGTTTTTTTTTTTTTACTAAACTTTTAATTTTTAATTATAATTATTAATAAATTTTAATTTATTTGGATTAAGGTTATTAAAAAATAAAAATAAATAAAAATAAAAAATAAATAAATAAATATAAATAAATAAATTTTGTACAAAATCATTATAACTTTTCTTTCATTTTTTTTTTTTTTTTTTTATTCATTCTCCTTCCACGTTTCCGTCGCGGAACCTTAAAATGCGTCATTACGAATTCGAATATCCGTAAACGATATTTAAAGAAAACGTAATGTATCGCAACGAATCGTAACAAATTACGTACGATGGGAAAATTTAATTAATTAATGCAAACGATGACGTCACCAACTCGTAACACTTCGACATCATCAATGACGTTTAATAATAACCCGAATAATACTACCCGATATATATATATATATATATATATATATATATATATATATATATATATATATATATATGTAAATAAATGAATAAAACGAAAAACGAAATCGAAAACCTTTAAGGTATGTATGCATTTGTTAACGTTATTGATTTTTTTTTTTTATCATCATCATCATCATTATTATTATTATCATTATTATCATTATTATTATTATTCGTTATTAAAATGTGTCGGCATGAGAGATAATGAATGATGAGCATAGAGTAAGAAAACCCGAGGGCCGAAAGACCGCGCAGGTGAATTTTCAATGGCAGTCAAAATTTATTGCCTTTTTTTTCTTATTTTTTTTTTTTTTCTATTATTAAATGATAATGATAATGATGATGATGATGATGATGATGATGATTTTAAAGAAAGAAAAAAAATTATTGAAGCGCTGTAATAATAATAATAATATGTCAATGAGAATGTATATTTGCTATAAGAGTTCGAGCTATAAAAAAATTTTTTTTTATAAAATTTATTATAGACTATAATCAAACGCGATCGTTTCAATTATTATTATTATTATTATTATTATTATTATTATGTGAGCCTTTCGTAAGCTTTCCATATAAAAATTCTATTTCCACGTTTTGGAAAAGAAAAAAAACGTTCATCACGAGAGAAAATGTAAATAAACATATCGAATTCGATCGTGGCATTAAAAAAACTCGTATTATTGACGACTAAACTAATCGTCGTGGTTTTAAATTATTCAAACACGGATTTTGTCTGTTTGTTGTTGTTGTTGTTTGTTAATAATTTTTCTTTCATTTTCGTTCGTCTCGTACGGTTATTCTTTATTATTATTATTATTATTGTTTTTTTAATTAATGAAATAAATAAAAGTGGTATTAGATATATAACTTCATCGTCAGTGTCGTGATTTCGTTTTTGTTTTTTTTTTTTTTTCTTTTTTTTGTGTCCTCCGGAAACGAATTCTCGCTTTTTTTCGTTTTCGTTTATTTCTCCCCCTCCCATACACCGTCCTCCTCTTCCCCCCTCCCCGTTCTCCCCATTCGTCGTCGTCGTCGTTAATATTCCGTCGACAGATTTTTTTCATGTCGTTTATTTTATTTTTTTTAATTGTTATCGCTAACGGTCAAAGAATACAATTTATATTGATAATAATAATAATAATAATAATAATAATAATAATAATAATAATAATAATAATAATAATAATTTTTCAAAAGAAAAAATTACATAATTTTTCTCGTTCGAAAAATAAAATTAAAAAAAAAAGTTTAAAATTTTTCCTATTTCCGTCGTACAACTAGAATCATCGGTTGTTATTATTTTATTAATAATTTTCGCGGAGTAGATTTTTTTTTTTTTTATTTAATGGCATACTACTGCCACTTTTACAACAACACACGTACGTACACGTCAATCTTTTTTTTTTTTTTTATTTTTTCACGACTACCACTACCACTACCTGTATTTACGTGAATGTAATTATTTCATTACCAATTATTTTCGGATGTTAGGCATCCGTAATACGTTTTTATGTGTAATACGGTAGTTTTTTAAAAGAAAATTTTTTCTTTCTTCGAAAAACGCCATTTTGAAAAAAAAAAAAAAAAAAAAAAAAAAAAAACGTGTAACTCGACACAATTTCCCTAAAGGCACGATTTGCGTTCGAATGATCGATCGCAATATTACAAATCTCTCAAACGAACGCACAAAGAAAATCAAAATTCGAAGAAACGTTTTTATTTTTTTTTTATCACACGCGATCCTCCTCGTACCTAGAAATCGCACACACACACACACAGACACACAAATCATTATTATCATCATCATCGTCGTATTTATTAGATATCGATTTGTTATCGATTTGTTTCCGATTAATAAATAAATAAATAAATTTTTTTCTTAATTAAAATCTTTTAGGTGTGGTGTTGCTCGCACCACACGATGGTGTCTGTCTGTATGTGTGTGTGTCGGTGGCGATTAAAACCTGCGTGCCTACTTGTTTTACCATCCTTGCAAATTTTTTTTTTTTTTTTTAATTTTAATTTTAAATATATAATAATAATAATAATAATAATAATATGCAAATAAACAAACACGGATAAAAACAAACAAATGAAAAAAAAATATATATATATTCGCGAAAAAGGGCGTTTGTCGTTGTTGTTGTTGTTATTATTATTTATTTTTAAAAATCGACGCCACGCCTAATAAAATGATTTTTTTTTTTTTTGGTTTTCTGTTTATTTTACCTGTCGAACGAGTTTATCATTATTATTATTATCATCATTATTATTATCATTATTATTATTATTATTATTATTAATATTATTACAAGGAACGTCATAAAACAACAGATAAATTGATAAATGATAATAAACCCCCCTTTGCTGAAGGCTTAGAAAATTTTTAAATAAATTAATTTTTCTTTCTTTCATTATCATTATTATTATTATCATTATTATCATTATTATTATTATTATTATTATTATTATTGAAATAAATTATTAGCGTCGTTATGTTCGCGTTGCCAAAATTAACAAATTAAAAAAAAAAAAAATTGAACGGTAACGATAGGGAAAATCGGACGGAAGGGAATTTTTTTTTTGTTGTTGTTGTTGTCGCGATTTTTAGGGGAAATTTGTCGCGCATTTGCAAAGCGAGCGAGTACGCGGCGTCATTTTTTTTTTGTTTTTGTTTTTGTTCGTTTTCTTTGTTCGTTGTTAAAGAACAAAGAAATTTAATATCATTACGTATTCATGGTATTCGTAAAGTAAAAAAAAAAAAAAAAAAAATTTTTTTTTTTTTTTTTTTTTTTACTTTTCGATGGTGGTACCGATAACCTCCGGAGGCTGCTGTT